TTCTTTATGAAGAACATGTGCCTTAAACTCTCGGAGGTGCGGATGATTTAATAGATAATGGTTCGGAATTGTTAATCAGTTTGGTGACATCTATATCAGTTACTCCACTCTCAATCTTTTCATATCTATCTGTTATAATCTTTCTGGATCTTTTCATATTTATCTGTCTATCTTAATCTTTTCATATCTATCTATCTGTTCTTAGCTATCTATTTATCTAACAATTTTCATTTTGTTCGTATCTATCTATCTATCTCAGTATTTTCATATCTATATATCTATGTCAATCTGTTCTTACCGATCTCAATCTTTTCATATCTATCTATCTATCTATCTATCTATCTATCTATCTATCTCTCTGTTCTTTATCTATCTATCTATCTATCTATCTATCTATCTATCTATCTCAATCTTTTATCTATCTATTCTGATCTGTTCGCATATATATATATATATATATATATATATATATATATATATATATATACTTGTGTCCCTCAAATGGAAACCATCGATATTTGCTGTGATTTTCTTTATCGCAGTTCATTGACTCCACCTAGTATTCCGGAGTCAATATTTTGTGAATTGATGAAATTTGCCACGTCCTCCGTCGAATTTAGTTTCAATAACACCATGTACCGACAGATCGACGGAGATGCTATGGGCTCGCCTTTGGGCCCTGCACTTGCCAACATATTTGTTGGCTTTCAGGAAGAAAAGATACGAAAGAGTCCACTTTGTCCTCAAATGTATTGTCGGTATTTTGATGATACCTTTTGGTTATTCAACAGCGAAGTTGAGGCTGATCAGTTTCTTTCATTTTTAAATGGTATCCATCCAGCACTGAGGTTTACTGCTGAGAAGGAATCCAATCTTCATTTGGACTTTTTGGATGTATTAGTACATCGTACATTAACAGGTTTTCTTACCTCCGTTTATAGAAAACCTACTTTCGCAGGGTTGTCTACGCGTTGGGACTCTTTTTGTCCCACTAAGCGCAAGATCAACATTACTAAAAACCCTCCTACATAGAGCATTAAAGATCTGCTCTGAGCCCTTCTTGAACGATGAAATCAACTTTATTAAGGATACCCTATGTAGTTTGGGTTATCCTCTTGATACTTTTAATTCAATTATCCGCAGTAAAGTTGAAGATTTCAGAATTGCCAAGCTCTACACTGTTAAAAAATGTCCAGTTCACCTCAGATTACTCTGGATTGGTACCAAATGTGAAAAAATAGCTAAACAAATTTCATTCAATGTTCGTCGTTGTTTTTTCTCTGCCGAAGTTCGGATTATTTTTCAAACTCGTCCTATGTTTCGTTCTGCGTGTAAAGACGTTCTCCCTCCCCATCAAATTAATTCAATTATTTATAAATACGTTTGTAGTTGCGGAGTCGACTACATAGGGAGAACAACTCAACGCTTAGACATGAGTATAATGCAACACGTTCCTACAAAGATTAGAAATCACATCCTTTGAATGGACTCGTCCCGAACACATATAGTTCCGCCATATGCGAACACCTATTAAAGAACAGAGATTGTGCAGCCAAATTAAGTGTTGACTCGTTCACCGTGTTGTCCCGGTTTCACTCTTTATTTCATCGGAAGGTTCTGGAGGCATTTTACATCGGGTCCCGCAAACCTTCTTTGTGTAAACAACGTGAGTGTTTGTTGGGGTTCGCTGTCATTTGTCTCTAGTTCCTTTTGCGAATTTTTTTTCCCTCCCACAACTTCCTTTTATTGTACATTTTTCTGTGTTTAATTTTAAATTAAATCTCCCGTTGAAGCCTGAAGAGCGGGAGCGAAACCCGGTTGCTTCGCCCGTCTTTAATATGTCTAGTAATATTAAGTTTTACGCTTTTATTTTGATCATTTATATATATATATATATATATATATATATATATATATATATATATATATATATATATATATATATATATATATCTACAAATCAACCACTCGCCCTTGCATGGATATTAGTGCCATATACGGTCTAGTGCCCCTTCTGTTTGCCTAGGGGTTCTTGATAAGGTCCAGAGACGGATATGCAATATAATTGGCCCTGATCTGGCATCTCGTCTACAGTCGCTCTCTCTCTCTCTCTCAGACGTGCCGTCGCCTCCCTCTGTCTTTTTAACAAATACTCTCAAGGTAACTGCTCCAATGAGCTGCATTCGCTGGTTCACAGACTTCATGAATTCAAGCATCCTACGAGGTTGGCATCCCGTTCTCATCCTTTCACTGTCGAAACTACTAAATGTAGCCGTCTCTTCTACTCCAATAGCTTCATATCCCGCACCTCTCGCCTGTGGAATTCCCTTTTTCATGTTTCCTTGATAGCTATAATCTCCAACTATTCAAATGTAATGTCAATCGACATCTCCAGTTGCATAAGATTCCCAAAGAAATAATTGTTCTATTCTTTTTTTCAGTCACACTTAGAGATTTTTTTGATTTTTTTTTCACTTTCCTGTCATGTTCATCCCATGCTAATTCTTGGAGTGGCTTCAAACGTTTGAACTGTACTGTATTTCATATTTTTATTGATACCAAAGTTTCAAGAAAAGTAAATTTCGCTATTAAATGACCCATGAGGAGTTGACATGCCGTTAAACAAATCAATCAATCAATATACCATGAAAATCAATTACATAACGAAACTGAATCGAATAGCAAATGTTCTTTTCAAGTAAAATTATATATTTCTCAACAAAGATTAAGTACACCGTGTCAGATATATGAAGCAAGTCGAAATTTTAAACAGTAAAAGTGCTATTAGCCAACTGACATTTCCACGATAGATTTAGTACAGCTGTTTTGGTAGTGTAATGGTTAGCGACTCGGAATAGGAAATCAGAGAGCGATGTTCGAATTCCAGCCGATTTTCTTATATTCTTGTTAAGTGTATGAATCCATCACTCGTCCGCCATGTCTTTAATACCGAGGCAGACTGGGATCTCTAGCCGTGGTTGATAGCCAGTCTAGTTGAAGGAAAACTCTGAATTCAAAAGCGGTAAAGCTCACCCATCCGAACCTGTACAAAAATCATTAGACATCAGTTACAGATACGGATTGAATATCCTTTATCGAAAACCTCCCAAATCCGGAAGTTTTTCAGGTGCTGACATGGCTTACAACAAATGGAAACTTTCAGAATGCACTGGGAAGGTTCCAAGGTGATGTCCTAAGTGACCTCATCTGCCCTGGGTGGCCATTCCGTTGTGCAGTAGATCAGCTTGAGTTTTTTTAGAAAATCAACATTGCACCCGGTTTGAAAACTGAAGTTTTATGTGATAATTATGGAAACCAAAACCTAGATCCATAACTTTTACCAATTTTTGAGTATTTAGTTTTAAAGATTTTTGAAAAATGTCCAAAAATTACCGAATTTCTGCAGCTTTTTGCTTCGAAAATTATTTCAAAATTTTAGTATTTCAAGAATAAATCCAAATAAAGCTGATATTTTTTGCATGTCCTGAATTCACGCCCCCACATTTTCGATGAAATGTCCGCTGGTCAAATGTCTATCTGCCAAATGTCCGAGTACCTGCTTTTCTAAATGAACCGCTGTTTGTAAGTACATTGATGGAACTACAAGAAGCCGTACTACTTTTACTGGTCTTGGAGAGAAACTTTGCAGAAATGATTACCAAAATTTGCTCCAGGTAAAATTTAACACAATCAGTGGCCCTCTGGTTAATTTATAACTCACTGCAGGGCAATGTAAGATTTAAATTGTGACCGGAGACTGCTCTTAGAAAATTCTGTAGAAATTTCTCCAGGGAAAGTTAACCCTACATTTACTGCCTGGAAAACTGGGTCTCTAATCAAGCAAAATGTCTAACTTTATCCATCAGGTTAATGTGTTTATGGACCAAAGATGGCTACCATCAAAACTGTATCATAAATTGTATAGCCTTTTAAAATTTTAATTATAAATTATGTTCAACAATTTTAGTATTATTTTTAATAAACAATGAAAAATTTAAAATAATTTTGTCTTATAATGTGTGCCCAGCAGTATTATGGTGTTATATACACTTTTATTTATTTATTTATTTTTGGTTTTATTAATTATGATCTAACAAATCTTATTTATTAAGTAGCCTTTTTATTTAATTCTTTTACAATTTTTATACAATTTTTACTCATCGAATACAGTAAAAATAATACAAAATATATCAACATTAGTTGGGATTTCACATGATGAATAATGACAAAATATTTTTTCAAAATCGATTTCCAACCGTTTTTTTAAGGAGACGAATTTAAAGATTAATAAGTTTAGGTTCAAAATTATAGCCTTTGAATTTCATTCCGGTGATCAGTGAAAAACCTTACAGCACATAAAATTTATAACGTACTGAAGCTTTACAAATTTTATATGGACAAGATGTAAGGCACAAGCACATTATTACTAAATCATTGTGCCATTAAATAAGGCCTTTATTTACTTCAAAGGGAAATTATACTGAATAATTTAGTTATCTTTTGATGTAATATATTATAAAGTGTAGTAGTTTTAGTGTGATTTTTAATAAACAATGCAATTTAAAATATTTTGTCTTATAATTTGTACCCAGCAGTATTATGGTGTTATATACACTTTTATTTATCTATTATTTTTTTTTAGTAATCACTGTTGGGACATACATCACCCTTAATAAGTGTTATGGCAGGGTTAGGGACATTTAAAAGTTACTGTAAAGTTCCTTAGACTGTCTCCCTGGCTTAAAATTGTCATCGTTTTTTACTTCGCTGGAAGACGTTGGTGGAAAAATATTCGCTGTAGAGGCAACGTGTAGAGTCCTGTTGTTGTTGTTGTCTTTTAATTCACCTGTCGAATCTCTCTACTTCAGCAGCACCTTTTTTTGTATTTTTTGACAGTATCTTTGCCAACAGTTGTTGGAAACTACCTTTTGGCCTTGTTTTCTGTTCTCTCTCTCTCTCTCTCTCTCTCTCTCTCTCTCTCTCTCTCTCTGAGCTCTTAAATATTTCCTTTTCTCAATGGCTAGCTGAAATTTTAAAATGTGTATATAGGTGTAAAAAGAGATCTCGCACATAGAGGAAAATATCACAATATTATTTACCCGACAAGGTAAGATAATCGGAAATAAATTTATATTTTTCAATTAATTTAAATTTTGAATATCAGGACAAGAACTAGTTGAAATTAAACAAAGAAAAAGAAAAACAAACACAGAATTAACATTAACTTTTTCTGGGGAGGACAACTGCAAACATTACCCTATTTTAATAAAATGTCAAAGGTAAATTTGAAATAAGTTAAAACAGAAAGAAAGTTTTATTTACCTAAATCTTGTAAATATAGTTTCTTCCACGAAAGTAAACAAACACAATGTTTTGAGTAAACGACAGTGACTTCGAAAATATAAAATTATGTAGATTAAACAAAATGTTTACTTTATTTTTCAAATAATTTAGTCTGTTGTATAAAAATGTAAAAGAGTTAATTAATTTGACAGTAACAAACGAACAGTAAGTCGAGATTTCAATATCGAATGTAATAAAAAAATAATTGTAAACTTATAACGGTGAAAAGTTACGTAATATCCATTGAAGAAAATTCCCTGATAAGATTCCTAATCAAAATATATTTATTTTACTATTGATTAAAATGAAGAAATTTATTGTTTTTATGATGTTTTATGGTTGTTTTTTTTTTTCAACTGAAAAATAGCAAAACCTAAATTCTATATGAGAAAAAAGAACCGGTTACCATTGCCGTCCACAACCTGTATACATTGTATTTATTTTATTGAGGAGAAGGCAAATATTGCAATTGTAAATCAAAAAGTATCTTAAAGTATTATATCATGACATTTAAACATTTTTGCAATAAGGATACGGAATTTTTTGACAGCGTTAAATTATTCACTAATCGCCAGAATGAAATTCCAGCACTCCAATTTTGAAGTTAAACTTAATTTTTAAACTTATTTTCTCAAGAAACGGTAAAGATTTGGAAAAATATATTTTGTGTCATTATTTCACTTGTCAAACTCCAACTTTGAAATCGAATGCAATACCACGGTTCAAAAATCAAACTGCATTATTGTGCATCAGTTTGGGTCCAAGGACAACATTCTCGTGGTCCAAAAATCACCATAATTCCTCAGATCTCAACCCTGCGACTGTTTTCTCTTCAAAAGTTAAAATTCCACTTGAAAAGAACAAAGAATGAATTGTTTGGCTTCAGAAAAGGGGCTACTTCGAAGGAGATTAAATGACGAATTGATAATAGTTGTAGTTTTTATTTTATGACACTAGTCCCAATACTTTTTATCAGACCACCTATTTAAAAAAAATACTATTGGTAATAAATTTTTTTTTGTCTGGTCAGGTTTTTCAACAAATGGTAACGTAAATATTAGCCGTTTCTTTATAAGTAAACCTTTGACATTCATTTCATCGATTGAAATTTATAAAATCTTTCTCTTCAAAATTTTTCAGGAAAAAAGGTTTGTCATGTGCAATAAATGTTATCGCTTTTAAGGATAAAATGAGTATATTTATAAAGATAATTACATTCATTTTATGCATAAAAATATTTGGGATATGTAAATTCATTTTCTTCCTAAAATAAATGATTGCAAAACAAAACATAATTTAGTATTTTATTTCTGACATGAGAAATTGCCAGTATCTGTCTATATTTCTGAGATGAGGTATTATTTACATTATTCGGACTATCCTCCTCATCTTTGTCGCCGTTGTACGCTCCGGCCTTCTTCAGGTTGAAATATCGAACTGAACCCTTTATTTCGCTCACGGGTAGACTGTTCTATCTTCCACGTTTAATGGATATCAGTTATCGCCTGTTACTTTCTCTCTGAAAGTTCTCCACTGCCTTAGACGAGTATTGAACTCACACTCTTTGGGTCACTGGATCTAACTAACGCCTTTATCCACTGTGCCATGTGAGTAATTGTCAATCTACTTATGTCGAACAATTGTTATCATTTTGGTTAATAACCCCCAAGAGACTGACTGGATGCGCCTTCTCGGGTTAACGTTTACGGCTAACATGAAGTGGCAAGATTATAATGAATGAATGACTAGAAATGGCGTTAGTTGGTTCACTGTGTCGTGTTAGACAATATTTCCCGCCAGAATTGATCTGACACATTTACGTTTGTTGTCTCAATTACGCAAAAATTAACATAACGCGGTCATCTCATTTTAAGATATATTTACTAAAAATTACACAAAAATATCTTAAAATACTAAAGTGTAAATTTATTCTATAAAATCGCTATTGGGTTCAGCCACGGCCTCCAGACGACCCAGGAATCTCTTGTATCGCTTCGAGACGGTCTCCTTGTTTAAGTTGGTGAATGCCGCCATAATCTTTGCCTTCAGTTCATCTTTGGTGTTACAAGGAGTTTTATTGGTCTGTCGTTCAGCTGCACCCTACACATAATAACCAAGGGAGGTTGCTGTCTGGAGAGTTAGGTGGCTAGATGTAAGGGGTGATGAGGTCGCAGAAATTATCTGACAGTCATGACTGGGTTCTCCTGCTTGAGTGGCATCGTACATATATATATATATATATATATATATATATATATATATATATATATATATATATATATATATTTATCTATTTATATGAACAGTATATCTTAAGAGATTCAGTTTATAATTTTTCTTTTTGTGTGCCGTGTCCCTTCAGGAAGTAGACGGTCATGGCTCTCCACTTCCTCCTATTCCGTGTAGCTCTCAATAAGTTTTTGTCCCTTTGCTACTTCCCCCAGGCCATGTTCTGTAATCCACTTTCTTAAGGCCGCCAGGTATGTCATGCTTTCACTTGTCTCTCTTTCCCTCTATTCGACCTGTGAGTATCAGATTCTCCAAGTCCTCTTTTCTCATTACGTGTCCCAGAAATTTCAGCTGCCTCTTCCTGATGTTAAGTATAACTTTCCTTTTTGTTTGCATCTTCTCCAAGACTTCATCATTGCTCCTATGCTCGGTCCATGATATCCTTAGCATCCTTCTGTCGAACCATACCTCCATTGCCTCGAGCCTCTTCTTCATCTTTGAGGAGACCGTCCAACATTCAATGCCGTAAAGGAGGACAGATGTCACGTAGCATCTCAGTATTCTTTGCTTTGTTACCAAAGAAATCTTCCTGTCTCCTAATACTATGCCTAGCTTTTGGAATGTATCTTTGCCCGCCCCAATACGTCTTCGGATCTCAGAACCACAGTTTGTGTTACCCGTTCTTCTTCTTAAAGATCTTGCAAATAACCTCTACTATGGTCAGGTTTTAAAGTGCAAGCAAAGGGTAATATAAATGTTTACTTTTTAAAATACGAGCAAAGGATATAGGCCACAGATATACGGATGATAAACGCAATGAATTATTACTTTATAATTTTACATCTTAATATTGACTCTTTGATATCCTATAACCTTCATCAGTCTTTCATTCATTGATTTTGCTAACTTTTCTATCCTTTTGAATTACGTCTGGCAGGTCACTGTTTCGCAGTAAGCGTATTTTCTTGGATATTATCTTTCACTCTAATATATCTCTCTTTTAATAATACTGTGGCGAATGCGCGTCTGAACATATGCAAAAGAGGCCCCGAATCAAAACCAGTTAAATCAGGGATTTTACCCGTTAACAGCGGAACAGCTTGGCATATCCAGATACGGGCCTCTCTGCAATTTGTCTATATCCAAGATTCTGTCAACTGTATCCTGTCAATAAAAACGATGGGGAAACCAGCAGCTGACTAGACTCGGTGTCTTGTGAAGTCGATCCTTCGGACAGTTTATTTTTAAAGTTAAGTGCCGCTCGCTGTTCTGTGGTATCTAAGTCGGTATTGTTTTCGTTTCTCTTGTAGCTCTCAATAAATGTTTGTCCCTTTGCCACTTCCCCCAGGGTATTTTACAACAAAATGCATTATAAGATTCATATTGGAAGAAGAGGTTAGGGACCCTTCTATTTGGTGTTATGGAAACTTTTTTTTTCATTGGCAAGGTGTAAAATATTCAGCTGTCCAGAATATAAAGCACTTTAAAGATTCTTGTTTGTAACCTGTACGAGTCAAAGAAAGTTTTATCCAGGAATTTAGAATTATTCTATGTATTTATGTAAAGATCGAAAAATAAATTGGAAATATTTCAAAACAAAAAGTTACTTGCAGAATATAATGGTTACCCATGTACTGAAACCAGTGTGGAGGATGCTTAACTATCACATTTGATATCATGTAGGGCGTCGTTTTTATTACAGTGTCAATGTTATATAAATAATCGTAGTCTACGGTATCTGGGTAAGCATCATGATTCATGACTTCTCCAACGGCAATCGTGCGGAATGAACTGGAATTTGATCCTTGATTCCCCCCCCCACCAATAAGGTTCACTCTGTACAAGGCCAGAGAGCCACTTACTGTAGAGGGTTACGTTAAGATGCAGTTTATACGGAAAGGAGGGAAAGATAACAATTACCCTAGACTTAAGCAGGTTAAGATTTTAGAGATCCGGTTAACATCGTCTTAGGAATCTATTCCACAGGTCAGGAAGAAACTGTTCGAGTGGAACTTACTTCTCGTCGATGGAATACAGAGAGAATATGGGTGGGGTTTGCTAAGTGGTACGGTGGGTCCTAGCCGTGAACGTTGGACTTGGCAGGACCAAAGAATGATCCTGACTCGATTATTTTATGTCCTGCATTATTAGCCATTCAACTATCAGTTAATCATTGACATATTTAAAACAGATTGTGTTATCCACACACACGCACGCACACACACACACACACACACACACACACACACACACACACACACATATATATATATATATTATTTGAAAGAAAAGTTAGATTGTAAAAAGTGTGCGAAAACCCTTGGAACAATGGCTAAAGCGCTTGGGACAAAGATACGATTAAAATAAAATATTAGTAAATTTATATTAAAGAATAAGAATAAAATAAAAAAGTATCATCTCTCTCTCC